CCCTGAGATTGGCAGGGGATTTCAGCTTGGAGTCCAGGTTGTAGTAGGTGCCGTTGATCTGCCGTACGGCGATCCAGTGCTTGCGGGTGATGGGCAGAGAGAGGAAGCCCAGCGAGATGGGAGATGGGATGTTCAGGATGAAGCCGAAGATTTCGCTCAGCGCCAAACTCTCCAGAGACCTGCGGGGACACCAAGGACATTGGGAGCGCAACATGTTAGCATTGTAGCAACCAGTCTGTGTGCTGGAAACGTCCCTCAACACTCCACCACCCCCCCAACCCACAAAGTGAGGACACCTCCAGTATCTTCACCCCACCAACCCCTCCCATCTCACCGAATACTGCGTCCTCCATCTAACCTCCACCTCACCCCCCCCATCTATCCGATCACCTGCTCTCCTCCCATCTCATGTCCACCATATACACTGCCCCTCCCTCAAGTCCTCCATCGAAATCCCCCCTGCCCTCCTTATCCCCTCCAACTATACATCTCACCAGCCCCCAGTTACTCCATTTCAGCCTCCTCTCTTGACTCACCGGTCTCCCTCTTGGTCTCCCTTCCCCAGGTAATGACCTCTCAACCCTTGGGCAGATCCCTCACAAATACAACGGTATTCCCCCCGTGCAGAACTATCAACCCCCGCAGAAACCCCAGTAGCAAATCTCTTACCCCCAGCAGATTCCCCTGGTCACCTTATAGGGGTAGTCCTCCAGTTCCTACTCAGCCCTGGATTCTTACCCCCAGCAGATTCCCCTGGTCACCTTATAGGGGTAGTCCTCCAGTTCCTACTCAGCCCTGGATTCTTACCCCCAGCAGATTCCCCTGGTCACCTTATAGGGGTAGCCCTCCAGTTCCTACTCAGTCCTGGACTCTTACCCTCAGCAGATTCTCTGGTCACCCTATAGGGGTAGTCCTCCAGTTCCTACTCAGTCCTGGACTCTTACCCTCAGCAGATTCTCTGGTCACCCTATAGGGGTAGTCCTCCAGTTCCTACTCAGTCCTGGACTCTTACCCTCAGCAGATTCTCTGGTCACCCTATAGGGGTAGTCCTCCAGTTCCTACTCAGTCCTGGACTCTTACCCTCAGCAGATTCTCTGGTCACCCTATAGGGGTAGTCCTCCAGTTCCTACTCAGTCCTGGACTCTTACCCTCAGCAGATTCTCTGGTCACCCTATAGGGGTAGTCCTCCAGTTCCTACTCAGTCCTGGACTCTTACCCTCAGCAGATTCTCTGGTCACCCTATAGGGGTAGTCCTCCAGTTCCTACTCAGTCCTGGACTCTTACCCTCAGCAGATTCTCTGGTCACCCTATAGGGGTAGTCCTCCAGTTCCTACTCAGTCCTGGACTCTTACCCTCAGCAGATTCTCTGGTCACCCTATAGGGGTAGTCCTCCAGTTCCTACTCAGTCCTGGACTCTTACCCTCAGCAGATTCTCTGGTCACCCTATAGGGGTAGTCCTCCAGTTCCTACTCAGTCCTGGACTCTTACCCTCAGCAGATTCTCTGGTCACCCTATAGGGGTAGTCCTCCAGTTCCTACTCAGTCCTGGACTCTTACCCTCAGCAGATTCTCTGGTCACCCTATAGGGGTAGTCCTCCAGTTCCTACTCAGTCCTGGACTCTTACCCTCAGCAGATTCTCTGGTCACCCTATAGGGGTAGTCCTCCAGTTCCTACTCAGTCCTGGACTCTTACCCTCAGCAGATTCTCTGGTCACCCTATAGGGGTAGTCCTCCAGTTCCTACTCAGTCCTGGACTCTTACCCTCAGCAGATTCTCTGGTCACCCTATAGGGGTAGTCCTCCAGTTCCTACTCAGTCCTGGACTCTTACCCTCAGCAGATTCTCTGGTCACCCTATAGGGGTAGTCCTCCAGTTCCTACTCAGTCCTGGACTCTTACCCTCAGCAGATTCTCTGGTCACCCTATAGGGGTAGTCCTCCAGTTCCTACTCAGTCCTGGACTCTTACCCTCAGCAGATTCTCTGGTCACCCTATAGGGGTAGTCCTCCAGTTCCTACTCAGTCCTGGACTCTTACCCTCAGCAGATTCTCTGGTCACCCTATAGGGGTAGTCCTCCAGTTCCTACTCAGTCCTGGACTCTTACCCTCAGCAGATTCTCTGGTCACCCTATAGGGGTAGTCCTCCAGTTCCTACTCAGTCCTGGACTCTTACCCTCAGCAGATTCTCTGGTCACCCTATAGGGGTAGTCCTCCAGTTCCTACTCAGTCCTGGACTCTTACCCTCAGCAGATTCTCTGGTCACCCTATAGGGGTAGTCCTCCAGTTCCTACTCAGTCCTGGACTCTTACCCTCAGCAGATTCTCTGGTCACCCTATAGGGGTAGTCCTCCAGTTCCTACTCAGTCCTGGACTCTTACCCTCAGCAGATTCTCTGGTCACCCTATAGGGGTAGTCCTCCAGTTCCTACTCAGTCCTGGACTCTTACCCTCAGCAGATTCTCTGGTCACCCTAAGTTCAGATCTCTGACCCCCCCAAAATGTCAGATCTTTAAATCCAAGCAGATCCCTGGTCACCTATCCCTCTACAGCCAGATTGTAATGTGTGTGGTGCCTGTTAGAGGAGGACGATGGTTCAAAGGGAACCTTCAGAGACCGGGAAAGTTCTCCAAACTGATCAACAGTAACCCTCAATTCTATCAGCTGGGAGGTCCTCAGGGCCCCCCCGGTAATCCTGGGTTCTCCATGGCCACCTCTGCCTTGATGAACTTGTTCTACACGGGTGGGAACGGGCCACTGGTTGATCCCGGAATAGTTCCACCCTCGCCCCTCATCAAACCTCTGGCGGGAATCGTTTCTGGGATTGTCCCCACCTGGACTATGACAATCACAAGAATGAGAATGCTCCTCACCTGCGTTTGTCCCACCACACGGCGGCGTAGTCCAGCATCTGCAGGGCCGCCATGAGGACGTTGACATCATAGTTTCCGGTGCCCAGCAGGCTGCGGTGCGGGTTTAGGACGGTGTTCGGGGACAACCTGCAACAACAATCATCATACGTCAACACAACGGATATAACCGGAAGAGAGTCAATCTACCCGAAAAAAAATCAGGGCGTGCACCGCACACAGCTCCCGCCGCTGCCGTTCGTGGTAGATACCCGGACCGTCCCCCATCCTCAGCGAACAGCGGGCGAGGGGGGCGGAGCTTGACCATATCACTACGCTACGGGAAGGGGCGGGGACCCGGGGTCACGTGAGGCGGCTGTCATCTCTGGAGTCACATGACCCGCAGCCTGTTACATTGTAGCCTGGGAGAGATCTCCGAACACTGAGGGATGATTTGTGAATGTGTCACTTCCCCTCCCCCTCCCATCACCATTATTATTAATAAGAATTTTTGCTCTGTGTTCCCTAAATTCTTTTATTGTTATTCTGATTTTTCCTTACTATTAATGTTATTTTTGTTATCCCTTCTCTATTATTATTATTATTATTCCTTATTTCCTCTATTTTATTATTATTAATTTCATTATTATTATTATTTGGGATGCACCGATACCGGTATTTCGGTGCCGAGTACCGATATATTTTTTTCGGGTACTCGCCGATACCGAATACCGAGTACCGGAAGTCCCATTCAGGAAGCCAGGCGGCGTGTAAAGACTCACCACCCGGCTTCCCGATCAGCAAGGAAGCCATCTCTATGTGACGAGAAAGCATGGAGCAGGCTTACTGGCCAATCACGGAAGCCGGGCGCCGTGTAATGACACGGCGCCTGGCTTTCCTGATTGGCCGGGAAGCTGGCTCCATGCTCTCTCGTCA